ATTATTGGTATCTCACAAATATATGTCATATCTTACCGCAGCCAGTGACATACGCGAAGTTAGGAGATCTGTCATGCGTGCAGTAGGCAATGTAGAAAAACGCTCTCTTAAAATATTTTTATTAATTACATATGGGTTTATTTTTATATATCTGTATTTTTCCTGTTATATATGCTATCCGTAAACAATTAAGAATTGTACTTTTTCGAAATTAAAATTCCACATATATCACGGCATTGTGAGATTTTACGAGCAAAAGAGTACCGTACAATTATTAATTGTTTACAGACAATATATCATACATAAAACACAGATATACAACAAAAAAACCATATATAAATAAAGATATTCTAACAGGGCGTTTTTCTATATTGCTTACTGCACACATGACAGATATCTTAACCTCACGTATGTCACTATTTTAATATTTCATTATCAGTTTTCAGTATCAAACATATTTGTAAGTTTAGACATTTTGCTCTTCGTACGAAGTGACATTGAGTAAGTATTCTTTGCTAATTTGATAGAGCTTGGGTATTTTAGTAATGTGGGACAAGTTCTTAGTAATAAGTAATAAAACATTATAATTAGAAACGAGTATTTTCTGTTATATCTTCATAGTTTATAATATAAGAGTATGTATATGCATCATAGGCCTACTAATTTTCAAGTCATTAATCATCTCTTTTATTTACAGTGGGATCTTTACGCTAGAAATAATGCATTTTTCTACGCATGCTAGGATAACTATTGTGCAACTACAGTATGAGGTAATGTTTTTAAGTATTGTATTTACTGACTGTTCACTCAACCTAAAGGAAGACTGAATTGTGATGATGACAATTATGCTGGTAAGATTGCTTTACAAGATCTTAATGTCACGCTACCTATTTATATTATATCATGTTTATTTTCATATTAAGCAGGCAAAAGTAATAACTCGGCACTAATTTGCAAACCAAGAATCCAGCTTGCATCGAATGTCTGGAGGGAATCCATTTACAAAGCACGAGAATCTTTTAAGCGAGAGTTCAATATTATAGTCTCCGCTAATAGAATCTTGTGATCTGTAATGGAATGATCAACGCTCATTCACCAACTTGCAGTGTCTGTTGAAGCAATAATGATTTTGTACTGTTGACGTGTTAGAAGATTGAATATGAAGATTGAGTTTGAAGATTGAACATTTATATCGCTATTCAGTTAGTGAATATATCAACGAAGACAGTGCTTTGGCATATTATATGCAAATGTGGCATATTGTAATATATATATTATTATATATGTATTATATATGTATATATTATATATGTATATTATCTATATCATAAAAGAAAAATCTTATAACATTCTGTTTTAACCGATTTATCAATTTTACAATTACATTGCAGTGTACATATAAATACATTATTTTTCAAAGAATGATCTTGTATCAATATGATAATTATATTGTAATAATTATACTTGAAGATTTACATGTATGTACTGTCTCACATAATGCATATACATATGTTGAAATATGGAATTATTAGAAATATTAGAATAGATATATTTATATATTTGTATATCGGTGTATTTCGTATGGTGAACAATGAAGAATTATACCGTATTCTTTCGCACTTAAAATTTCAAGTATGTCACGGCATCGTAAGATTTCAAGTGCGAAAGAGTGCGGTAAAATTTTTCGTTCACCATATGAAATACACCGATACACAAATATATAAATATATCTATTCTAATATTTCTAATAATTCCATATTTCAACATATGTATATGCATTATATGTGATAGTACATATATGTAAACCTTCAAGTATTTTTTAATTATTATAAATATAATTATCATATTGATACAAGATTATTTCTCTGAAAAATAATGTGTTCATATGTACACTGCAATGTAATTGTAATGCTGATAAATCGGTTAAGAACAAAATGTTGTAAGATTTTTCTTTTGTGAGATATATATAATATGTATAATAATATAAATATTACAATATGCCATATTTGGATATAATATGCCAAAGCACTGTCTTCGTTGATATATTCACTAACTGAATAGCGATATAAATGTTCAATCTTCAAACTCAATCTTCATATTCAATCTTCTAACACGTCAACAGTACAAAATCATTATTGCTTCAACAGACACTGCAAGTTAATGAATGAGCGTTGATCATTCCATTACAGATCACAAGATTCTATTAGCGGAGACTATAATATTGAACTCTCGCTTAAAAGATTCTCGTGCTTTGTTAATGGATTCCCTCCAGACATTCGATGCAAGCTGGATTCTTGGTTTGCAAATTAGTGCCGAGTTATTACTTTTGCCTGCTTAATATGAAAATAAACATGATATAATATAAATAGGTAGCGTGACATTAAGATCTTGTAAAGCAATCTTACCAGCATAATTGTCATCATCACAATTCAGTCTTTCTTTAGGTTAAACGAACAGTCAGAAAACACAATACTTAAAAACATCACCTCATACTGTACTTGTACAATAGTTATCCCAGCACACGTAGACCCAAAAATGATTTATTTCTAGCGTAAAGATCTCACTCTAAATAAAAGAAATTGATTAATGACTTGAAAATTATTAGACTTATGTTACATATACATACTCTTGTATTATAAGCTAAGAAGATATAACAGAAAATACTCGTTTTTAATTGTAATGTCTTATTATTTATATTTAACAATAAGAACTGTCCCACATTACTAAAGTACCCAAGTTCTATCACATTAGCAAAGAATACTTACCCAATGTCATTTTGTACGAAGAGCAAAATCTCGTAAACTTACAAATATGTTTGATACTGAAAACTGATAATAAGATATTAAAATAGTGACATACATGAGGTTAGGATATCTGTCATGTATGCAGTAAGCAATATATAAAAACGACCTGTTAGAATGTTTTTATTTATATATGGTTTTTTTGTTGTATATCTGTGTTTTATGTATGATATATTGTCTGTAAACATTTAATAATTGTACGGTACTCTTTTGCACGTAAAATCTCACGATGTCGTGATATATGTGGAATTTTAATTTCGAAAGAGTACAATTATTAATTGTTTACGGATAGCAAACAACAGGAAAAATATATATATACAAAAAATAAACCCATATATAAATAATAAAAATATTTTAACAGAACGTTTTTATACATTGCCTACTGCACATATGACAGATATCCTAACCTCGCGTATGTCACTGTTTTAATATCTCATTATTGTGTTTGTAGTATTAAACATATATTTGTAAGCTTGCGAGATTTTGCTTTTTCTACATAGTGACCCAGACAGCACAAAATGTCCTCAGGTTCATCCTGAATATGTCCAGGATGGTTCAGGATATTTGTAGGATGTTTTAAGATATTATTATAAATATATTTTATGAAAATTTAATATGCATACATGATTACTTTCGGTTATGTAGGCTATTTAATTTAATTTAGAAATTTTAAGTATTGTAATAAGTATTAATGTCCTATAAATGTCCATTGGATAACCCCTGGATGTCTGTAGGATATTTGCCCTGTCTATTATATTGGATGCCCTTTGGACGTCCTAAGGACATCCTTGTGCTGTCTGGGTAATAGACAGGGCAGATATCCTACAGACATCCAGGGGTTATCCAATGGACATTTATAGGACATTAATACTTATTATTACAATACTTAAAATTTCTAAATTATATTAAATAGCCTACATAACCGAAAGTAATCATGTATGCATATTAAATTTTCATAAAATATATTTATAATAATATCTTAAAACATCCTACAAATATCCTGAACCATCCTGGACATATTCAGGATGATCCTGAGGACGTTTTGTGCTGTCTGGGTTATCTCACTTTATATTACGGTAATACTAATTATGCAACAATAATTACGTGGCAATATTGATGTATGATTGTTGATAGTAATTAATATTATTTGTATAATATATAGCCATTGTGTCATTGTTCAAAATTGAAACATTAAAATTTTGTCTCTAAATTTCGCCGTTATATTAAAACGATTGCCTCAGAAAATAAAACACGAGCGAGAACAAACAGCGTCGCGGTCACCCGCTCGGTGCGTGATTGCATTCTTCTTAGAATGAAAAACTGTGACAAACACCTGGTTCGAGAAGGTTCGAAATCAGAAAAACTTGTTATTCAGATCGGCAGAGTGCGAGTTTCCGCGGTCGGTCGATTTAGTCTGCCTACGACAACGATTCGAGCTGGTCGATAGCAATCGATCATAGTTTCGAATATCATCATTTCTCGTATGATATTCTTTCGTGTCTTATTCTCGCTCGTGTCGCGTACGCAGTAGGCTTACTCGTCTCAAATCGGTCCGAATTGTCTCGCATACAATCGCATTCATATTTTCGCGGCGGTCAATTCGGTCATATCTCCAACTGTATTCTTCAATTCAGTTAGTGCTAAGACATTGTGAACGTTAATTCTGTGGAGTCCGAGAGTCGACGCTCGTTAACCGCATCGCGAATGTCCTCTGCCTCGCGCCAAGCAACATCCGGCGTCCGCGTGCAAGATATCCGTTCTCGCGAGAGCCTCTAGCAAGAAGCTCTTAATCAAGATTTCCGAACCGCGAAAAAAGGGCAGTCATTAACAGGACATGTCGAAGATTTCCGTCAGAATCGCGGAATACGTGCCGTCGCTCGCTCCTCTATTCTTCAAAATAAAGGGAACATTACTAACAATCTGCACTCGATTCTTTTCTCAATCTCCTTATCCTCCAGCGGATCTACGGATTCGCGTTACACACCGCTTCTCGCTCATCTCTGAGCGTCTCTCTCAGTTTCGGGCGATCTCGTCGAGATCGACTCCCGAACAGTCATAAAATAATACGCATTAGTATGCCATATTATTAGCAGTAGCAAATGTATATCGAGAAAATATACATCATTCATGTTACATTATCTTGAAATATGTTATTTCTCAACAAGGCTGTTTTTACTTCTTTTACAATGCCAACCGAAGAACACGATGAAGGTGAGCCTTATAATAAAAAAAAAAACTGCATTAAATCATATCTATTTTGCATAAATATCATGCAATCTTTTTCATTATTCTTGGAATAAATAATTTTTTATTGTATTTTCTTATAAGATGAAAAGTAAATTTAATAGTTAAATAATAAATATATATTTATTATAAACGTGCACACATCAAAAATAGATGTAAGTGTCCGATTGTATTACGATAAAACCGCATCTCTCCGTACTAATTAAAACCTAAACGAGCGATTCATCTGTCACTGTCTTCTGCAGGGTCGTCCTGGGACACCTGGAATTCCGGGAAGTATCGGACCAATGGGACCCAAGGGAGAAAAGGGGGAGCCCGGCGCACCGAGTCCTTACGGTGTTTCCGTCGGTGTAAGTATAACTTCCAGTTTCCCGACTTGGTATCGCCGTGTAAATTTCTCGCGCGCGCTAACTTTACATATAAATCTAAGTGCCCGCTAAAAAGTGAAAATCAAGAACGAAAAGTCAAACCGCGAATCGCTTGGAAAGGATTTCTCACGCTAAGTGACTTGTCAGTCGTTTGTCCAGAAACAACGAGAACAACAAACTCCTCTTTCGTTCCAAAGAAAAAAAAATGCAAATATAAATAATAATTTTTTCGTTTCTCTTTTCCCTCTCGCGTGATTTTAATCTGAGTTATAGCAACAGAATATATATATAAAGTCTATATAAATAATATATAAATAAAAAATACATATAAATATAAATATATATACATATAATTTATAAATAATAATATATATATGTATACATATACACACATATATCCTGCTACTTTAATTTGTCAGACCAAAATGAGAGAGACGTGAGAGGGAAGAGAGAAATGAAAAAATTATTGTTTTTATTTCCACTGCATTTTTTTTTTTTTTTCTTTGAAACGAATATATACCCTTGTAAACAAAACAATAGAAATCTTTGAACAATAGGCGGCGGAATGCGAGTGATAGAAATGAATGTAGAAGTGCATCTGGCGTGCGTGCGTGTGTTTTTTCGCGTCTTCGTCGCTGAATTTATTTGTTGCGCCAAACAGAAACTTTCTCCGCCGCGGCGCAGAGTTTCGCGAGCTGTCACACCCGACAACTGACAAATAACGTATACTGATACGCGCGATATGGCGTCCCGCTTTGCTTGCGAGCTTGTATTTGTTTGCAACGTATTCAACCAGACATATCCGAATATAATAATTCTTTTAAATGTTACAATTCTTTTAGTATTACAAAGCATACAAAACAAATCAACAATTGCACGCTGAATACAAGAAAAGGAAAAAATGTATATCACAAAATTTTACAGTTTTTACAAAATGAAATAATTGAAATAATAATTTAAGAGTAGATTTTTAGTCAAACTTGTAAAATTCTTTTTCGAAATAGAAATTTTCAAGAAAAGCTTTATTAGACAAAAGGATCCAGATCTAATAATATAAATCTCAGAATATAAATGGAAAACGGAACTTTGTTCTTCAATTAAATCTGATTTCATATAGATCAATTTTATTTGAAGAATAAGAATTTGATCTGGGGATTTAATTTTATGTTGTGAAAATTAAGAAGAAAAACGTGAAAACTCGTCAAGAAATTCTTAAAATATTTTACGCTATGTCTTTAAAGTATCTTTTTTTACGTAGAATTTTTAGCAATACCATAATGAAGAAATCGCAAAGATCTAGTGAATGTAAAAAAAAGATATCTTTTGTATGTAAATTTCATAAAATTACAAATAAATATATAATTTCATAAAATATAATTTCATAAAAAAGTATAATTTCAAAAAATTACAAATAAATATATTACATGAAAATAGATAACAATAAAAATCGATCATGATATCATTTTTCTAAGGGCATAATGCAACATTGATAACGACAAAGATAGATTATTCCTCAAGAAAAAACGATTACACGGTCAGGCAACAGAAAATTCCGATATCGTCTTCCCACGATCGAGAGGATGTCTCTCGCGCCTCTCCAGCATATAAACCGTCTCGGCTAAACATTCGTGAAAAAGAACGCAACCAAGGAACGTCGACAGAAAGCCGACGTGATGCGCCTAAGCGATCGTTGCATCTCATTCTTCAGTATTTCCGATAAATCAACCGCTCCTGCTCCTGGCAATATTTTACTACTTGCTGATTCTCTACAAACCTATCTACTTGTCTGTCAAAGCGATAAGAAGCGTAAGAAAACCGATAATAGCAGCTTCTGAAATATATCGATACGTCTTCATGAGAAACTATCAATTGTTAAAAATATTGTGAATCTATAGTTGCTTGTTTAAATATCTTTTTTAGATTAAAGGCGACAAAGGAGTCGATGGTTTTCCCGGAATTCCTGGCCAACCGGGAAGAGAGGGTCAAAGGGGACCTCCAGGACCACCTGGACCTCCTGGACCACTGTCCCAAGGAAAATACATCCCGGTTCCAGGACCTCCAGGTCCTCCCGGACCCCCTGGTCCGCCTGGATTATCCTTAATCGGACAGAAAGGCGAACCTGGAATCGGTAGAAGTCACGTTTTCGGTGAAAGGGATTATTACGGCTCTAGACAAGGTAAAAATATTAAGAAATTCGATGAAAATTATTATAATTCAATAATATAGATGATAATCTATTGCGACATCACTGCTCAAAAATAATTACAACTAATTTTAATTAAGATGTCCATTCGAATATTATATATTTAATATTGCAAATTAACAATCCATTTTGTTAATAACAGAGATACCTATCCTTTAAATCATTCTAATATTATTTCGTCGAGCACACATTTTATTCCCCTCCCTCCCCCTATCGAATATTTATAAATATAATTAAATTTCACACTCGCATACCATAAGGACCCAGAAGTAGTCTGGACGAATTGAAAGCTCTACGTGAACTCAAGCAATTGAAAGAATTAAAGGAGCAATTAGGTATGTTAGTAATGTGAAATTAAAATAATTATGCAGCGCCATCACCGTTCTTTCGCGAATGCCTTATAAAATAGATTAATTTTTAATTAATTTCAATAACATTTTCTTCAAGGGGTTGTCACTGCCGCTACAAGGGGGCCTTTAGAAAGTACAACGAAAATTGTGCCAGGAGCTGTTACATTCCAAAATACAGAAGCCATGACAAAAGTAAAGTTTTGCGAATCACCATTTCTTTTCACGAACGTTTGAAATATCAACTTTTTAACACTCTCTTTATTTGTACATTATAGATGTCTAGTGTTAGTCCAGTTGGAACTCTGGCTTACATCATAGACGAACAAGCTTTATTAGTCAGAGTTAATAACGGATGGCAATACATAGCAGTCAGTATTAACATTCATTATTATTGCAAATTTAACGCACACACAATATTTAACATTATAATTTTTTATAAAACTAAATTTTTTTAATTTATACAGCTCGGATCACTTTTGCCTATCACAACGCCAGCACCGCCAACCACGGCACCGCCACCAGCAAATCCTCCCTTCGAAGCGTCGAACTTGATTAACCAGATACCCGTGAAAGCTGACGGAACAGGGGTAAGTTAAGAACTTGAGTGGATATTGCGTAAAAAAAATACGTTCGTAGAAATTAATCGTATTAATTTCGAAAATAATTCGCATTTTTTTCCATGCTGCAGTGGTATCCGCGAATGGTGAGATTGTACCATATTTAATTGAAATTTTTCGTCCGTTTCCATCCCCAGAATATAATATGTATTTCGCATTTTTTTTTAGAATATGCAATAAAAAATAGAGATTTCAATTTAAAAAATTCAATGTGACCTTGATATGACCTTAATAATGCCACCCAAGGTCTAACTAATAGTTCTATCTCTTTTCCCCTTCAGAACCAAACAACTTTTGTCTAAAAATTTTTTTTCTAAAACTTACAGGTTTTGAGATATTTGCCTGTCAAGATTAAAAAGACTCACCATATATATATATATGTATGTATATATTCGTGCACAATTAACTTTGAGCGGGTTTTCTCGCGTGCCCGACGTATATATCGCGAGATATAAAGCATGTAGAGGAGTTGTATCTTAATCTCAACGTATTAATTATGTACGGAAGGAGGCGGGAAGATTATACATTGTTGCAGTAAATAATCCATGATGATCGATATGACGTTACGATTATTTGAAATATTTTTTTTGCATTTTTTTTTTTTTTTTTTAATTTCAAATCTAATAGAATTAATAATTTTTTAAATTAAAATGTTTGTAAATGGTTGTAAAATTTAATCAATGTGCATCCGATATTGCGATGAAATTCGATTGTGATTGAAAATCTTTATTTTATACAAATTATATATTTTTCAGTTGAGAATGGCTGCATTGAATGAGCCATTTACTGGAGATATGCACGGTATACGAGGAGCAGACTATGCTTGCTATCGACAAGCTAAACGAGCAGGCTTAAGAGGTACATTCCGCGCTTTTCTCAGCTCTCGAGTTCAAAATGTCGATAGTATCGTCAGATTAGGAGATCGAGATCTTCCTATAGTTAACATAAAGGTAATTACGACGAAAATATAATATTTATTTATTATCGTGTTCGATGCTCTCTATCAAATCGAACATTCTATTAAAAATAATCGAAATTGTTTAGGGCGATGTGCTATTCAATTCTTGGAAAGAGATGTTCAACGGAAACGGGGCGTATTTCTCTCAGAATCCCAGAATCTACAGTTTTAACGGGAAGAACATTCTTACCGACTTTGCGTGGTAAATATATGGAAAATATATTTTTTTTCAATGTGAAGAAATATATTAATTTATATTACACGAAAATTATATAATTTACAAAATGACAAACTAATTAAATGGTCACAAATTTGCGAATAGTGTTATTTATCCGGGAGAGAACGTTATTTCCCCGGGTCTCGGAAATAACATTCTTGCCTTTATCCAAGATAAGCTTAAGATTGATCATTGAATCGACTTGTTCCCCCCGTATTTCAGGCCTGAGAAAATCGCATGGCATGGTTCTCACAAACTTGGCGATCGTGCGATGGACACTTATTGCGATGCCTGGCACTCGAGCAGCTCAGATCGCTATGGATTGGGCTCGCCGTTGACTGGCGGCCGGCTGCTGGAACAAGTGCGATATTCGTGCGACAATAAATTCGCGCTGCTATGCATCGAAGTGACGAGCGAAATGGTGAGAAGACGGCGGAGCGTCAATGGTCAATCGGAAAACGACGTTGAGATGACGGAAAACGACTATGTGGAATACTTGGAAGAACTCATGCAATACTGAACACTCATTCTCTCTTTCTCGATTATCACCGTCACTTGTAACGCGAAAACCAAGCCGTCATATCGATATAATACATATCGCGAAATAATAACGCGCGAGCAGCGACGCATCTCATCTTGTTTCCAAGATCTATATCTTCGAGATTCCAAAGGTATAATTACTTATACTTCCATCACGAGTACACTAACCATCTGCTTCAACCGCATCTCAGTTCTCTCTTCTCTCAATCTTTATTAAAGATAAAAAGAAGACTGATCGTCTAGATATTCATTCGTCAGTGTTTCGTCGTACCGAGTATTCCTATCGGGTATTCAATCTATCAGTCAGTACAGAGAGTTTCGATCGTTCAAAGATCTCTTTGTAAAGCCATCGCAGTTCAACGTTTATTAAGCGTATCCCTTCATCACGATTAAACGTCCAAAAATATTTATAGATCATTACGTGAACGATGTGATCTCGAATATACGCGTGCACGATTCGCTCAGGCGTTTACAACGCGCTTAAGCATTAAAAAACGTCTGTCTAGTTTTACTTCTTCTCATTAAACGCCACACGCCAGGACATCACAATATCCATTTACCAATTTTTAATTCATCAAAAATTCAAACGACTAATTTTTACGATTTGGTATCATTGCAAAGATCGAGGACTTGAATTCAAAATAGTATTAACTTCAGAAATCAAAAATTTTTAAGAAAGAAAATTAATATATAATTCATTCTTTTCTATTTTTTTTCTTTTTTGTTTATTATACATATAATTTATATCTGAAAACTCTCACGCATATTTTTCACAATAAGATATTTTTTTTAATTATGATATTTTTCAAAAAACTATAAATATGAATATATAATGTGGTGCATAATTCAGAATTTATAATTGAGAATTTAGTCGCTAAGAGAATATAATAAAATTGAGAATTTAGTTTCTTTTTCGTGTTTTACGTGATATAGAAAAAAATTAAATTCTCATATAATACTCTTTCACATTAGATCGTAACGATTTAATTTTGATTTCTCTGAATTTAATACGGTTTGGACTTCAGATCCCAAATTGTTCATGTAAATCTCTCGTTTCTGATACTCTAATACAAAATAACTGACGTAATTATACGTGCCCTTAAATGATTAAAATACAAATAATCATGTTCGGCACACGTGCGTTATGAATGCTCTGTACCGTTTATAAACAAAAAATAATTACCTAACACTGCTCTAAATAAACCTAAACGAAGTTCGTACCCGCGCGATCAAGTTGCATTTACATTTTAGCTGATACATATTGAGTGTGTATGTTAGATATAAGAGACACATCGATTTAAGGAGTTTCAGACGACGCGGCGAGTCGCTGTCGAAGATTTATGCTCCGTGTATTAACACAAATGGGTTAATAAAAATAAAAAGTTATTTACTCAAATCATACATCGATCGTTTTCAGAATAGTTTCCATGATCGATTTATTTATAAGTCTTGGAAGAAAAATCATCACGAAGATTTTCGAAAAAATTGGGAACTATTATTTATAGAGGGTATCCCAGAATTAGACCGACAAACTTCAGGTGGTTATGAAGAACACCAAAACAAGCCAATTTTGCCAATAAATCCCTATCCGCAAATGAGCCGTTTTGGCATTAGAGAATCATATAGAGACTAACAAGGAAACAGGGTTGGGAAGTAACGCGTTACTTGTAACGCCGTTACCGTTACAGTTACTTTTTTTCGGTAACTGTAACGGTAACGGCGTTACAAATTTTGTTTGTAACGGAAAAAGTAACTTTGTTACATTTTTCGGTAACGAGTAACGAATTTAACAGTTACTTTTATTGTTACTTTTTTTGAATTTACTCGATATAATTTTCATACAAAGGAAAATATTGATAAGAGTGTTGGAATGCAGCATTACATGAAAACTATTGAAAACTCATTGTGATATCTTGTTTTTTGGTAAGACAATGTTTAAAAACTTTTAGTGTTTAATTTGTATTAAAAAAAATTGTATGTAAAGTTATTGTTATATATAAAAAAACTAACGGAAATTGTAACGACTCGTTATTTTTTTAGTAACGGTAACGCTAACGAGTTATTTTTTAAAATTGGTAACGAGTAACGGTAACGAGTTACTTTTTAGAAAAAAGAACGGTAACGGTAACGAGTTACTTTTATAAAATAACTTTCCCAACCCTGCAAGGAAACCTTGCGAACCCGAAAATTCTGATTTTGATGAAACTTTACACACATGTAAGGGGGATAAATAGATGAATTTAGAATTTCCAGAGTTGCGGTCTAAAAACGATTCTAAGGAATAATCACCCCTCATAACGGCTTTTTGTTTTTTTCGATATATCTCGAAAATTATTCGAGATATCAAAAAATGTTTTATACAAAAGTTTCATGGTAAAAACATCTCCATTTAACCATATTAATAAAATTTTGGAAAAATCATTTTTTTCAAAGATTTTTGTCCTTGTTAGTCTTTGATTCTCTAGTGCCAAGACGACTCATTTACAGATTTATTGGCAAAATTGACTTATTTTGGTGTCCTTTATAACTATTTGAAGTTTGTCGGTCTAATTTTGGAACATCCTGTATACATCAATATGAAAAAAAATGTAAACTCACGACTTCGTTACGATTCTTTTCTTAAAATAAACAGTCATACATGACTTTACCAGTTACCAAATATCCTTAGTGAAATTATCCTTCATCCTTAATGTATGTATTAACTTCGAGTTCCATATTTGATATGCGACATCTCATCCGATCCGTACATATCCCTCATCAGCTACTCTAAAAACATATAAAGAAATAAAATTTAGCGAAGTTCTACGATATTGTTATACGAAATATGGATATAATAAAATTTATATATATATATATCTTTTATTCGCGTACGTTATTCTTTTCTCAGTGTTATTTGCGCAGGATTTAAGAATTTCTAGCCCTAATGTTACACCGAGCATAAATCGAATCTAAGTCAGTGTCTATAATTCGAAGGAGAGGTATACCTATATCGTTAACGTTAACTTAATTTATTACAATTACGTAGAGACCGATCGTGAAACTATCATATGTATACTTAGGTTATCAACATGCTTATTAGCGTATATTTCCTACGTACATATATACATGAACTTTTTTTAATGTTGTCAGTAGTAATTCGTGGCATCCAAAAACGTGCACACGGGCTTATTGATGTCTTATTACATGAATTTATGCACAATCGGAGCGTATATGCATTTTCCCGTGCGCGCCTAATTTCGTATCTTAAGACATGTGCACAATGTCATATGTGTGCAATCGATTGTCCTTCGATATAGTTTGCACTGAAAATGTTTCATTTCCAAATTTTATATTATTTGTACACTTTATTATTGTCTTTCTAAATAAAAGAGGAAAAGGAGTCTCTTCTCGAGTTACGTCTCCTTCCTTTGCTTTTTTTAAATATATATAAAAGTAATGTACAAATGTAGAATCGTAATTGTTATAACTTGAATATTCGATTAATGATATATATA